ATAAAGACTAGTCTTTATGGGAGACCTCAGCAACCCCCCCCCCTCAAAATTCGCCCTTAGAAGTTTCCAATTTAAAGCAAGAAGAAAAGCACAGCATCCCCCCACCCTGGAACAAAACTAATAGGAAATCCTGTCCCTGTCCTTATCTGGCACAACTCCACAAACTTTGCATCCTCTCCTGTCTGGAGTAGCCTTTCCCCTTAAATGTAAAACCTTCCCACCTTGTTTTATGGCCAGGGAGATGTCTTAAGCCAACCTCAACTTTATTCCACCTTTACCTGAGAGGGTGGTGTTATCTGAGTATGCAGCCTACCTTCCAGACCCTCCCTTTGTCTAGGAGATTAAATAATGCCCAATGAGAAATTTGCAAATCTGCATCATGGAGGGAGGTGGCAAATGAAGAACCTTTTCTATGAAGTGATTTAAGGGAGAGACTGTTCGGTGGCTGACCCTGGGTACTTGTCTCCCTGTGCCACCCTGCAGGGTCCTGGTGCTGATGACTAAGAGCGGCTACCAGCCCCCGAAGCTGAAGGAGAAGGCCCGGTGGTGAGTGCTCTCAAGGGCTCCTTGCTTCAGAAGCAGCGAAAGATCCTTACTTATTTTTCCTCTTTGGGGCAGGATGCTGGAGGTTTGGGGGAGGCTTGCAAACCCATGAGAAGTTGACATTGTGGTACTGCATGATTCCAGTCTGAAAACCGTGCGGAAGACCCTCTCTTGGCACGCTTGAGCTGAACAAGGGATTGAGACTTTAGATCAGCTTATTTTTCATGGTTGTTTTAAAGATTTTGAAAGGTGGTCTTTTGAGTTTAATTTGCCTTCAACATAGGCTTGGCAGGATATATAACTGAAATATCTGTTTCTAAACAGTATGGCCCAGATGCTTTAGCAATCTCCAAGATACCTGCAATTTTAATTTTTTTTAAGACACCCTGCACTTGAATGGAAACCAACCATTCAGTTTTACAAGGTACTAAAATGTGAAATGAAATATTAGCTCTGTGTTTGAAAGAAGAATTGGAATATCCAATTTTGGAAAATCAGTGGGGCCAGGTATTAAAAAAATATGAAATATACTTTTTATGATTTAAACATGAAACTAATTCATCAGAAAATATTACTTTGGATCTACTGGGCCCCCTCAAAGAATGTTTGGGAAGGAATGGAGATTAGATTTTTTAATGCTAGCAATGGAAGAAATTGGAAGGTACTTTAACTCACACAATCTGGCCTTGTTCTGTTACAGCTTTGTTTTGGTTTCAGTAGGTATGTTAATATAATTTTGAGAAGAAATATGATATGCTGTGTGATGTTGAATTATATCCCTAAGATGGGGAATTTGTCATTTTATGAAGAGCTTTGACTTTATTGAGTTTGCAAACCAGCAAAGAGGATAATTTTATGTAACTGGAAAAAGAGTCTGTCTCCTGATTTTAAGGAATGGAGCCAGGATATGAGTTGATTATCTATTTTTGAAAAGTCTTTGTGTTCTAAAAATGTGAAGATGATACATACAGATAGCTTAATGATGAACTAAACAATTGAATTAATTTCCTATGGAAATTTATACTTATCATATGGGTGTTTTCTCTTTGTTTGGGGGCTGGGGGTTATCTTTAGTTTATTTAACCATTATGATATATTTATGTTTTTTTTTTCACCTTATTATCAATACTGGATGTGCACTTTTGTTGGTATTTTACCATTTTAACAACAAAAGTTTTAAAAAGTAGGGTTGAAATCTTCAGATCCATTTTCATATTGGGTGAAGATGGAGAAAAGCATCTTAACATGTCAGCAGACAGCCAAATTCCCTGCCTTACACATCACTCGCAGAAAGAATTACTTACACTACAAATTATCTCCAAATCATACTTATATAAACCTGACCTTCTTTTCCTTCTGCACATCTAATCTCTCTTTGCTGCCTTCAAGTCAGTCTTGACTGGTGAAACATGGACAGATCCTTGCTCTTTTCTTTGCAACATCTGAAATAAAAGGCTGCTATTTTGTTGAAAGCCAACAGGGTTGAATTCTTGTTCATGGATTGGGATTTTAAAAAAAAATCTATAAAGAAATAGGTTCCAACAGGGTTTTCTTCTGATAAACTTCTAGAGCAGTGTTGTCCAAACTTGGCCACTTTAAGATGAGTGGACTTCAACTCCCAG